CTATACTATGTTGTATAGTGACCACTGAGGAAGGCCCTTTGAGGCCGAAACGCGTTTGGTCTTCAGTTGGAAAGTGTTAACCCATCATGTGTATTAATAATTGATATGCTTTTATTAGTCTGATACTTTTTTTAAAAAAAAATTAACCCGAATATATTTTAATATGTGTACACCTTAATAAATTTTGTATTTTTATAATATATATGGTTAGCTTATCCCAGGTGGAGCCACAGGTCCGGCTTGATCCTGGGATGTTTCTCCCCGGTGATTCTCAAAACAGCTTCCCCGAAAGAGGCGGAAGGGGGGAAGGGCTTGAAAAATGACGCCATCGTTTTGATGACGGCACTCCTTTGCTTTCCTCAGAGCAGCCCCAGGCAGCACTGCCACCCCACCCCCCCGGCCAATTATGTGAGCAGCGGCCTCAATCTAGGGGAGGCAGCCGAGGTCCCCTGGGGTTCCCCGAGGCAGCACACCACAAACGTGGACAAGTCTTGTCCGTGACGCCTGGTCCTGTCCCGGACTGAGAGAGCAAACAGAGAGAGCGGGACGCTGGAGGCAGGGACGCCTGCCCGCCTGTCAGTCATGGGACAGACAGACCAACAATAGAGGCAGACATCTTCTTCGAGGTCTGAGTGAGATTTGACTCCAGTTATCAAGAAGGGCCTGCTCTGTCTGGTGGCAGCTCTCCCCAGTGTGAGCCCGGCTCCCTCCAGTTGTCTCACCGGAGATGCCGAGGACTGGATCCGGGACCTTCCACAGGCAAAGCCTGGACTTCCCCCCACTATACTTCAGTGTCCCTTTCCATCCCTTCTGGGTTACAGCTCGTAGCGGCCACATTCTACATAGGAGGGGTCCCCCAACCTTTTTGAGCCTGTGGGTGCCTCTGGAATTCTGACACGGGATGGTGGGTGCAACCACAAAATGGCTCCTGCGGGAAGCAGAGCCAAGAACAACAAAAAAGGGGAAAACAGGGCTGATTAAAAAAAAAAAATAGACTCGGAAAGAGGCACGAGAGAGAATAAGGCCAACATTGTGGCGGTAGCTGCTGTTGAAATAGCGTTAAACTGCATAGCCCATACAATCTCCAGTGCCCAATCAGAAGCCCTCCTGGGCAAGGGCCCCAAGGGCCCCACCCACTTTCTAAAAACACTTCGCAGGCACGAGGAAAGGTGTTCGCGGACACCAGGGTGCCCCTGGGCGCCATGCTGGGGACTGTAGCTCTATATCACCAGGAGAGGACAATAATTTTTTATGTTATCAGCAAAGATGGAAACAGGTTGCCTTCATACATGTTTCTGCCCTTTATATGTTTACTATTTAAGGATGTAAAGAGGAGACTGAAAGTGTAGCACAATGGTCTCATCTGATCTGGTTCCAGTCAGAGTTGCAAAATGTGCACATTTCCGTGCAGCTGGATCAGCAGCCGTAAAACGTGGCTGAAGGCTGCCAGGTGTCCATCACCCTCTCTCGGCCTCTCTTGTTGCACCCCAAGAGGGGACCGCGGGAACTTGGGTGGGTGTGGGTGCATTTTGTCTGTCGGGTTGAACGCTCTTAGCGCCAAGGTTTGCTTTGAACCAGCAACACATCTGTCATACAAAGACACGTGCGCACCAGAGGAACAGGAGGAAAGCCCAACCCAAGAGAAGCCCCTGGTCCAGCATCACTCCCTGTCTTCCCCCCACCCCGACAAAACACACTTAGGCAGTTACCTTTTTGCTTACTGACTTTCCTTACAGTCATTGCGGCCTGTCGTTTCTGGTTTTCGGAAATTTCAAAGCCTGAGGACGGAAAAGGAAACATCAACATACCAGAGAGTTCAGCACTTGGCAACTTGATATCCTCACCTGATCAACTCCCAGGATTGTGGGGGGAGGAGCTACATCAGGGAAGCTACAGTGACACTGATAACAGTTGGTAGGATAACTGTCCCTTCCGATCCTGTGTCAAGCCCACCACCACTACATGGGAGTTTACTCATCAGCCAGTGCGTCAAGTTAGCTTCCCTGGCTAAGGTTCCACTGGCAAGTTCTCCAAAGGCTACACAAATTTGTTCTCCAAGTGGGACCCCCGTGGTCTTCTGGGAGAAGAGAGCTCAAAGCAAGTCACTAGGATAGACTTTGCTTTCTAAAACTCTTTTGAGGACAACGCTTGTCCACTATGCAACGCTAGGAATGGAGAGAGGGATACATTTCTGACTTCTTTTGCCTCAATTCGTAAGGACCTGGCTGGCAGAAGTAGCATTACAACAAACCTCCTGCCTCAGACGGACCCCTGGGCCGTACCTATTTTTTCATCTTCTTGTACCATCTTCCTCTCCTCCCGGAAAGCCCTCAGCCACCGCAGCTTCTCCTCCAGCTTCTTGGCAAAAAATAAGTGCATTTCTTCCGTCTCCTTGTTGTGAAGTTTGAACGCGTTCTTCATGCTGACATTGAAGTCATCGTCCCGCCCGTCTTCGATATCCAAGACCTCATACCGATCCATGTCGATGCGCCCTTTGTAGTACAGGATGTCTCTCCTTATTAGATCCTAAGGGGAAAGAAAAGATAGGGTTATGCTGTAATTTACATCCTCAGAAGCCACTGAAGGCTGGGATGTGGATGGCCGTGAATGAAGGCGGCCGAGTCTTCGGTTGCTGAATGTCTTGGAGAAGCAACCTTAATCCAAGACTGCTGAGAAGCAGACAGAACAGGAAAGTCCTGAATTGTACTAGAGGATTGCAGCCCAAGGTCTGGCTGGACTTTGCAAACCAAGGTGAACCAAATCTGATGTCAACATGCCTTTCCCCACCTCCAGGATGCCTAGCTACATGCCTCGCTCCTCCCTCCCAACTTTGCCCTCAGTTCCTCCCTTTCCCCAGACCTCTCCCA